TACTGACTAATTTTTATAAAAACTATGATATTAACACTACTTAGAAAATATATATGTTTTTTTTGTTCGACAGAAAATAGACATGTATGTACACGGAATAATCCAAATAATAGCTTTTATTAGTTTAGCATTCGAATTGAACTGGACAAGAGTTGGGTATCTCAAAGTCAATACCAATCTATCTACCTACTGATGCCGACCACTCTCTTAACGAATCCCTCTCTCTACGGAACCATTGTCATGCACACATCTCAATACATCATATATTATATAATAAATATGTGATATTTTAATTTGTGGTAGAAAGTTTTGACACCATGCAAAGTAATATATAAATATTGTGATAGAAATGCGTTATATGTCACTGTTGGCCAATGGAACAGAATCTAAGGACCAGCTCCCATCACTTTGCAGCCGAAGTGGTAGGGCAATTTAGTAGTCTGACACTGTCGAACGAAGTTAAGATGGCCTACCATTCTTTTCTATTTTCTTCTTTAAATAGAATGTATATTATTGTTATTATTTATTTATTTTTGGTCAAAATAATGTATATTATTATATGGAAAACAGAGAAACAAAATGTAAAGGATCAGAACCTGAACAGCAAAGTTGAGGGAGGCAAGGGCGGTGGTGCTGGCGAGTCTGATTCGGTAAGTCTTGTTAGGCTCCACATGTAGTCTCTGTGGTGCACATTGATCACCATTTTTAAACGTGCACATAGGTAACGATGTGTTGCTAAACTGCGCCGCCAATGAACAATTGAATTGTCCTCTCCCATTTATCAATATGCTCTTCAAAAATTTCCCAAAAAAATAATATATTCAGAATTGAAAATGTAAGTAAATTAAGTATAGTTTAGTAGATGAAGATAATTAAATAACCTGAGGTTCACCGATCCAGCGCATAGGTCTAGAAGAAAGACCAAGTTCTTGGGAGAGAACATCCTCATGCCACCAATCGCTTAGTAATAGATTAAATTCTCCATCGTATCTCAATGGCTCTTTCTTCCCTTTGGCCGCGTCGATAATCAACGATCCGTATAGCCCAGCTGATCTCTGCATGCCGTAGTGCCCATGATAGAAGTGTGTTCCCGGCTGCACCGTATCAACTTTTCCCAATAAATCACATTTTTATTCGTATTTACTTCATTTTGTTATAAACTTATAACCAAAAGTTTACCTTATCAACAGTGAAATTATAAGTAAAGGTCTCGCCAGGGCTAATGGCGCATTGAGTAACTCCAGCTGCTCCATCTGTCCATGGACTTCCCAACTGTTCACAAAACCCATTTACTTATTCACTAATCTACATTCTTGATTTAGCTCAAAAGATATTATGTCGTTTAAGAGCACAAGACTGTCATAAGCTAGAAATAGAATTAAGCCAAATGGAATCTCATAGGAATGTACTTCGCTTAATTATTAATTGGTATGATAATATTTAAGCAATAAATGAAGTCCAAAGAAGAAACCAACGTCCCGATGAAGAGTCGTGAATGTAGAGGTCTTAGAGCATCTCCAAAATTTCAAATATGAAGTTTTTACCTCTCCAAAAAGAAACTCTAAAATTTCAAATTTAAAGTTTTGAGTAGTGAAATTTCAAATATAAGAGTATCACTAATTAAAACTTCAAATTTGAAATTTCATATTTTATTTGTATTTTGATCCTTACAATTACACATCATATTTATCATATTTATATAGAGTGTCACTAATTAAACTTCAAATATTTATTATTTATCGTTTTAATCTTTAAAAAATATTGTTTCATAAATAATTCAAAATTATTTTTATAAATTTAAAATTTGTATATGTTTTTAAAAAAACATCAAGATAATCCTTAAAATATTTTGTTTGTATTTTAATATTTAATTATATATTTCTATTTATATTTTTATATTTTAGTATAACATTTTATCAGATAATATTTCTTTAATATTTTTATACATATGATAGTTATTTATAAAAGTATTATGAATTTGAATAGTTATACAAATATAAGGACCATTATATAAAATACAAATAGTTTTGAAGTTAGATTTGAAGTTTTGCTTTTGGAGTATAACACTTTCAAACTTCAAATATAAAATTTTGCAAACTCTATAATAGAGAGTCTTTTTGGAGATGCTCTTATAGAGAACAGACATGAGTCAGCAATCATGCATGGCATGTGCTTCACAAAAACCCAGTCACTTATTCACTAGTCTACTTTCTTGATCCAGCTCAAGATACTTTATATTGTTAGAGGACTTTGCATGCAAAAGAATACAAGACATAGACTATAGTGTCGTCAGCTAGAAATAGAGTATCTAGAAAATGTACTTAATTAAGAGAGTACATCGGGAAATAGAAAGAGAAGAGAGTCATCAATCATGCATGGCATGTGCTTCGAAGCCATTATTTCAGCAACTTTACAGATTCCCTTTATTCTTTATCATCCTATGGACAAATGTAGATTTATCTATAAAATTAAATCAATTATTTAATGCTTAATTATTTGTATGAAAATCAAACAAGAAAATTTATGCTCTGATTGAGTTCATTTTGAGGAGTGATGATCCATTAGTGCGCCTACATTCCTCTAGTGTTTAAATTCGTTTCATCTCAAAATTAGAAATTTAAATATACAATACATTTTAGGTAGTTTCTCATTTTCCTATAGATTTTTATATTTGTAAAGTACGTTTAAACCTCTAAAACCACTCAATATTTTGGTTTAGAATCTCCTAATTACTACTCCAAAAAAAGAAAGAAAACCTGACGAATTCCATGCCAATGTATGACAAGGCCTTCGGTGGGGAGTTTGTTGGTGAGATGGACGACGATGGTGTCTCCGGCGAGGGCGTGTATGGTGGGGCCAGGAAACTGGCCGTTGATGGCCATGACCATGCCTTCTTTGCAGTCGGGCCAGCCGAACTTGTATTCAACCTCCCAATCATACTCTCTCACGGTGGCAGACGTCGTGTGAGCCAAGATAGCCACTGCCACGATCCACCACATACCCATTAATGGCTTGTGTTTGTGAATGATGGAGTATGCTCATCATAGATGTATATATATAGACTATAGACTATAGAGGGAATGGTAAAAAGATATGGGCAGCGAAACCATAGATTGGGGATTTATTCAAAAAATATATTAAAATTTTTTGTTTATTTTTTTGGGTTTTTTTTCTGCTTGTTCACAAGATACATGAACATAATTATGATCGTGTAAACTATCAAAATATGTCAAGAAGATTCTGAATTGTAGGTGATCTCATGATACATGTTTTTAGGGGTGACCGGTTGGATTTGTGTTAGAAGAATAGATCACGTTCACAATCTTTATAATGCCAACTTTATCAATCTCACCGTTTGGTAGGTGTCTTTGAGCATGGAATATTGTAAGTAAAGTTAACAAAAAAAAAAACAAAAAATCAATTATCACATAAAAGCATAGACATTAGGAAAACGTCAAATTGAATCTCCATCTTTCTAATGTATAACATTGTATCTTAAAATCGATTATGGCCCGTATCAAATAAAACTAGATATTTCCTAATACTTTACATCTTATCGCGTCTATAACGTCTATACATTGGCTATACAAGTTTATTTCCTGAAAAGCTTTTTGCTTTTGAATTTAAATCTGCAAAACATAAACCAAAAAAGTTTGTACCGTAAAGAATTGTACTAATATTCTTATCATGTCTAGTTTCAAACTCAACTTTTATTGTGTGTGTGAAATGATGATAAAACAAAAAAAAAAATAGTGAAACCTGCAAACAATTTGAATAAATCCTAGGTGATTTTGCCATCTTGGAATGAATGGTTACCACTATGTATCTTGAATTTGGGTGGTCCATTCCACATTGGGGCGCGCACCACAATGTGACAATGATTCATATATTTAAAATTTAAGACACTCTGTGTTGTTGTATCTGTTATAATCTTCTTTTATTCCGTGTTAGTTTGCTTTTGATCGACTATAAGACCCTCTACAATGGTGATACTCCATTGGAGTCCTTAGAAAAAATATTTTTTAAATTTTTACTTATTTTTTTTTCAGATTAAAAGATATATATATCAACGAATCACGGATTGTCACGTGTAAGGATTCACTAAAAAAAAATCTTTACTATAGGATATTTTGGACATAATTCTTAACTTTTAATGAGATCCACTGATTATTTAATTATTATTTTTTTTAAAGACTTCCCGCTAAAGACCGCTATTGGAAATGTTCTGATCATCTTAGTTGGTTGGAAAGTTTACATGTCCATTACAATCTATACAATACTACTTGTGATGATATCAACTTCATTTGAGTTAAGTTGGTTTTTGTTTGTCGCCAGGTTTTGATTGTATAAAATAGAAAACAAAACCATAAGGGACGCATACAAACCCTGAAAACTGGAACAAACAACGCTAAGATATCTTAAGGAAGAGATGTCTGAGATGAGATGTGACACTAATCTAATTGCAATAGTTTATGGAGAAACATATATTTAGTAAGAAAAGACAACAACTGAACAAGGCATATTCTACCTTGGAAAGAATATATTTTACTTTCTATCAAACTCATGATATACAACCAAACCAGAGATGCAGTTTTGTTGTATTAGAATTGTTGGTCGTTCTAATTAATTGAGTTTTATTCAATGCTCCTCTGTTTCTAATACTGTTAAAGACTTTCTTAAAATTAGGTGGCACTTCAATTTTTTGATGGATAATTTATTAACTTATAATGTTAATGACATTTGCATTATTCAGTTTGTTTTATTATTTTATCAAAGTATGGTTAATTAAACAATTAATGATGTTTGTGTTTAAAAATGTAAGAAATTAAATATTTTATTAATCTAAGTGCACAACTCAAAAACATCTTTTAATATATGTGTAAGTTTTTGACAAGTCAAAATATTAAACTCATTCATAAAATTTATCTGTAATTTTTTGACAATTTAAAAGCTAAGACAACATATTGCTGTATTAATTGTTTTCCTTTTTGACAAATTTATTAATTTAAGATTCAGCCAAATGATTATTATTATAACTAATGTTTTAAGAGCTAGTATTAGAATGCTCTTTGACCAAGAGATTCTAAATGGAGAACACTGACAAGAGAATAAAACAGATAGTTTTGATGAAGCTTTTAAAACATTAGTATGTGGTTTTATCACCATAATAATCAATCATACGAAAACACACACTCACAAACATCCAAAAACATACTACTAAATTACTAATAATAGAATAACACCGCTTTCTAATGGCGTCCCCGGTTCATGAGCCATTTCCTGGTTAACCCACAACCAAGCACCTCATCCGGTATATCCATCTTCGCGATCCGGTCTACTCCCTCAGCGAAAACCACACCCATACCCATATGCAAATGCGGTTCAATATGACAATGAAAAAACCAAACCCCAGGATTATCCGTCACAAACCTTAACGCCGTCCATCCAAACGGATACAACGCCACCGTATTCCGTAACGGCGGATTCTTCAAATTATAACTCTTCTCATCAACTCCTGGCCTGAACTTCCCGTCACCGTAACCCAAAACCCAAAAATCATGTCCATGCAAATGCCACGGATGAATCTCACTGTTCTTACCTTTCAAAACGTTAGCGTTTTGGAGAATCACGTCCACCACGATGCCCAGCGGGAACTTGTAGATCCCGCTGCTCTTCGTGGTGGCGGGATTCACTGGAGGCTTCGTGATGTCGTAGCTCTCTACAAACTCCTTAGCTGGAGATTTTAAATAGGACAAAGGGTTTAACCCGTATCTTATCGATCCTAGGTAAGGTGTTGACGTGAGGGACAAGGAGACGTTGTTGATAGCCCATTTCGTGTAACCGTCGAGGAGGTTCTGTGTGTTGAGGAGGAAAAGCTGTTCGTCTGATTTTTCCGGCGGTGGTGGGTATCCTTTTGCGGCGAAGAACTTGTTGGAGAAGTCTTTGCTACGGTTGTAGTCGTCCCATCTTGGAGTCACTAGTGGTGGAAGAGATGGACGTGCGGATTCATGAGCATCGATGTAGCTTAAAACAGTGAGTGCTTGAGTTGTGTTGGGTTTCCGACCACGTACACCGACGGAGATGAAGTGTTTTTTTGTTGAAAATGAGTGTGTTCGGAGGAGAACGGAGTAGGTTTCGCCGGAGTATATGTCGATGTCGTCGACGGTGAATGGCGCGACGTAGTTGCCGTCGGCTTCAACGACTTCCAGCTTGTGTCCCTGTAATAAGGAAGTTGAGTTACCACACGTGTGAACGAACAAAGGAAAGAACACATGTTTTTCTTATAAATAAATATTATTTTTATTTTTGCTCAAAAAAAAAATATTATTTTTATTTCAAAATACCATTATTTTCTCCTTACTTTTTGAAAAGAATATTCTTATCTTATTTCAGAACAAATTCTATTTGCTGATATATCCTGAATTTTATTTTGTAAATATATTTTGACAAAAAAAAATTATTTTAAAGAAAAAAGTAGATAAAACAGAACTAAAGTTAGTTTTTGTCTGAAACTACTATCTAGATTGAATAAACTTGAACAAAAGTTGTTTAGACTTAAAAAAAAAAATATTTAGTAGTAAAAAAGAAATAACGAACTTACTTCAACGGCCAAGTTGAGTGAAGCAAGAGCGGTAGTGCTAGCGATCCGAAGACGATAAACTTTATTAGGCGCGACCCTTAGAGTCTCAGGTGCGCACTGATCATTTTCTTTAAACGTGCACTGCCTCTTCCCTTCGTTGCTTAAATACGCAGCTTGTGAACAGTTGAACTGTCCTCTTCCATTGATCAATAGACTCTGAGGCTCACCTATCCAACGCATAGGGCTCGAAGAAAGAGCCAGTTCTTGCGAGTGAGTGCTTTGGTGCCACCAATCACTTAGCAACAGATTAAACTCTCCATCGTAACGTAACCTCTCTTGAGGCGATCTCACTATCATCATCCCGTACAGTCCTGCTGATCTTTGCATCCCATAGTGGCCGTGGTAGAAATGAGTTCCCGGCTGCATGCATCATATCATTCATTAGCCCCCAATTATTTACTTTTCTTTTTTTTTTTTTTTTGTTGTAAAAGTTTTTATTAAAATAAAGTAAAAGGTTTTTACCTTATCAACAGTGAAATTGTAAGTGAAAGTCTCGCCAGGGTTAATGGGACATTGTGTCACACCAGCTGCTCCATCTGACCAGGGAGTCCCATTCTATTTCATAATTACAGTTCATTTTTATTAGTCCCATTCTTGTCAATTTTATCATACTATCTCTGGAACCAAATTTTCTTAATAGGTTAAAACCTAGTTGAATCGCGCCAGTTTACAGGTGAGATATTCATACTTGTATATAATAAATCAATTATGTTGATTCAGTTCCAACAGTTCGGTTAGCTGAACCGTTTTGGATAGTTATATTAGCATGTGGTGGCAAAAAAAAAGAAGTCTAAGTTTCTTGTCACATTACATATTTATAATTGTATATGAAAGGAAGAAAAACTAGAGTAATTAAACAACCTGACGTATGCCGTGCCAATGGATGACAACTCCTTCGGTGGAGAGTTTGTTTTTGAGGTGAATGATGACAATGTCTCCGGCGAAAGCATCAATCGTTGGCCCCGGGAACTGGCCGTTTATGGCCATTACGATGCCTTCTTTACAATCTGGCCACCAGAACGTATACTCAACCTCCCAATCTAATTCCACAACTCTGGCAGAGGCCGAGTGACCCGCCACCAGAACCACCGTCACTAGCCACCACAAAATTACGGACATGGATCTTTTTTGGATTGTGTGGCTTGTATATTGTGACTTAAAAAAATTGTTTGTGTTAAGTGTATGAAAGAGGTTGCACTGTTGTACACATATATATATAGAAAGGGAATGGCTTTATTTCAAAAAAACTGATCGAAAAAATACAATTTTTTGATATTTTGTTATTTGTTTGCTAAGAATCAGTTTATATTTTATGTGGTTGAAGTTGAACAATTTATAACTTTACAGACGAAAAAGAAAAGACGACAAGAACAATAGGACCATTGCATCTTGGCAGTATCGGATGGAAGACACTGGAGTGATGCAATTGGTTGCATCATTTTCACATTAGTTAAGAAACGTGTTGTCATCTCATGAAGACCTAATTTGTTCTAATCATTCACGTATATTATTGCCTTATTGGCTATGTGGCTTTCTATCATGCACAAAAGATACTAGGTGTTTTGCCCGCACATGCGGGTTTAATTATCTTTAAATCTATTTAAAAATCATCAAAATAAATGATATTTGCATCCAAAAAATTTAACCTAAAACATTATTTTTTTTACATGATAAATTTATTCACAAATTTAAAAATATACTTCTTCCATTTAAACTTTAAAAAATCTAAAGTCTATTTTCTTTCTTCTTAATTAATAAAAATATAGAAATCTATCTTTCAATTTAAAAAATTGAATCGATAAATATACATTCAAAAATTGATCTTACAAAAAGAATAATATTAGTTTAGATAATAATACAATTAAAATTTATTTTTGCTAAACACGTTTTTTTTTGTTTTTGAATGATTTTTTATGTTATTATGATAAATTCATGTTTAAGGATTACTTATATATAAAAATATAAAAAATAAATTTAATTTAACATGTGAGCCCAGAGGCGAAAATAACTTCACAAATATATATATATATATATCATTATATTATATTATTATATTCTGTTAATTTGAAAATAATTACGTATTATAACTTTAAAAAAAAATTATTTTCAATTATATACAATTAAAGTTTTTACTTAATTAATATTTATTTTTGTGTTTTATGTTTTTGAAATTTTTTATTAAATATATTTTCCGGATAACAACACAATATATATAGGAATTATCTTTTTATTTTTAAATATCTATTTATATTATGGATAATTCTTATCATTATTATTAATTTAAATCATTTATCTAATCAAATAAATATTAAATTTGTTTTTATTATTGGCTGATTTATATATTTATTCATTAAGGGTAATATCGATATTAACCGCTCTAACTTTTAACGTGAGAACTCCGTTGCGAAAAATCACTTTTCAAATAATAGTATAGATATAATCCGTAACTATAGTAATTTTTTTTTTTAACATTCCGTAACTATAGTCTATACTCTACATGTGATTATTTGTTAATTCACTCAAGCTAGTATTGGCTGTATATGAAGTTACTTACTTTTTTGTACATATTGACATAACTTTGAAAAAAATATATATGAACCAAAAGAAAGAACCTTACCTATGTCTTCCACTGAGGAAAACTGATGCGGTCGAGGTCAATAAAAGGCAACAGAGTAATGGAGTTGAGTTGTTTTTTGAGTGATTTAGTGAACTACCCATATTTAAAGCTCAAATTAGCAAAATACCATTGATTGGACATGAAAGACACTGACACAACCATTTGGCAAGGAAATGTCGAGAATGTCATTTCTCTTTCCTCTCATTAACACGAAGCGTAAAAACATTTGTTAACATATAACACTTCTGTTAATGTCTACAATATTTGTTAACAACCAACACATTTATTACCGCGAAGCGTAAAAATAATTGTTAACAGTTAACACTTCTGTTAATGATGTCTTGCATTATTGCATTGTTTTATCTACTCTTTTGCATTCCTTTTCATCATGTAGAATAGGTTTTAGCCATGTTTAGGTTGCATTTTGCATACATGAGTCCCTTTTAGGTATTGGAGCATCACATGGAGCTTTTGGAAGCATTTGGGGTTCATTAGAGGCTCAAAAGAAGCAAAAGGAGTGATCTAGACCCGGA